TGTGGCTCCCATCTCCCTGGCTGCCCGGCCTTCTCTGTGCTCCACACCCATGGTATGCAGGGGAGCCGAGGGGATCTTTATCCCACCCCTGCATTGGCCGAGGGTCTGGGGTTACCAGCAGCACCCCCACTGCCTTGAGCACATGGAGCTGGGGCCTTTGAACTTATCTGGCCTGATCCGGACTTCTAAAGAAAAAAAAAAAAAACCGGCCTTAAAGTTATTAAGAACTATAAAAAGGGACTTTGATAAAAATTTTTATGTTAACTGAGAAATGAGGAAAAATGTAGGATACTTAAGTAATAAAGAAGGAAAGGGAAAAAGGAAATTTGTCTAAGAATGTCTAAGAAAGTCAGAGGAATGATTTGAGCACATAGAGCTGGGGCGTATGAACTTATCTGGCCTGATCCGGACTTCTAAAGAAAAAAAAAAAAAACCGGCCTTAAAGTTATTAAGAACTATAAAAAGGGACTTTGATAAAAATTTTTATGTTAACTGAGAAATGAGGAAAAATGTAGGATACTTAAGTAATAAAGAAGGAAAGGGAAAAAGGAAATTTGTCTAAGAATGTCTAAGAAAGTCAGAGGAATGAACTAAAAGTATATAAAAAGGTTATAGAGAGTTAAAGCAAGTTGTCGAAGGTCAGAGAAAACATTGTTAAAAGAAAAAAAAAATTAAACTGTTTGCTATGGTTTTTCATGTCTACAAATAGTAAATTTTAAAAATGGTAATATAAGTTAAAACTTTAACCATATTAAGCTAATTCTGTTTAAAAAGTCCTGTTTATTTCTCAAGTAATTTATGGATACTTGTTTTAAAATGTTCTGTTTCCTGGTAGCCAGCCACATGGCAAACTGGTCACATGGCTGACTGGTTGCCATTTTGCTGAAGTTAAAAAGGATACTTAAGCTGCCATCTTGACTAAAGGTGACCGCATGGAAATTAGAGGTACCATCTTAGAAACAAGTTTTTCAGTTAAGATTTAAAATGTTAATGCTTCTATATATTACAGAAAGACATTAAGGGAATTTAAATTTCTTTTTAAAACCAGTTTTTTAAATGTTTGTTTTTATTAATGTTTGTACTTAAAGAGTTTCAATTTAGAATCATTTTTAAGCAAAGTGTAAAGTTCTTGTTTTATAAAAGCTGCTAATCTATTATAAGATGCTACAGTTTGTGTTTTCAGAAGTTAAGTTTAGGGTGTTTGTAGCACACACCTTTAAGCTCAGGGTGTTGGTGGGACACGCCTTTAAGTTTAAAACATTGGTGGCACTCGCCTTTAATCCCACCACTCGGGAGGCAGAGGCAGATGGATCTTTGTGAGTTCAAGGCCAGCCTGGTCACAGATCCAATTCCAGGACAGGCTCCAAAGTCACAGAAAAACCCTGTCTCATTTGAGCAAGCAGCTAAAATATTTACATGTAGCTACTGTTTAAGGAATATAAGGTAGCTCTATGCAGTCTTAAGTTCAGCTGTGCTAAGTTTCAAATATTTTACTAAGTTAAAACCAGTTACAGTCAGGCTGGAAATTAATTACAGAAATAAGACCTTACCTAGCCACCTGTATGCTTCTTGTGTGTGTA